TCTAATCTTGTCCAGCACTAAAAGCATGAGATTAGCTTTCAGCATGGTGACACCTCGTGTACAGCATCCTGTTCTCAAGTAATCAGACACGCTAAAGCTGAAATTTTACGAGGTCTCACAGTCCAGCACTGCTGCCCTAGTCGACATCTTCTCCACTCTGAACAAGAAAGACCAATACGAAAATGTTCAAAATTAGTGCACGAAAGTGTTCAAAAATTACCAGCGAATAGTAATTGTAATGATAATAATAGTAATAGTACAAGCAGCATTGATGCTAGCAAAAATAATAATTACAATTACAATTATTATTATTACTGAAATAAATGCGATTACTGCAGTGGTGATGGGTAATAATAAAGTAATTAATATTATCATTATTAATATTGCTTTCACCACTATTACGATCACTATTATCATTGTTATTATTATCGTTATGCTGATAATAACAACAGGTAGTAAAATTAATAAAAATAACAGTGGTGAAGAAAACAAAAATCTCATTTTTCCCAATAGTAAAATCAACACAGCATTGTATTAAAATCATTTTACATTAATATAACACAATAATTTTTATTACAATTGTAATTTAGTAATAATAAGCATAAAAATAACAGAACGACAATAATAATAGCAATGCAAGTAGCAGTAACTGCAATTTGCAATTGAAAAAATATAAAACATAAGCAAACCATAAAGTAACGACCATTTATATTTTTACCACCTCTCATGCTCAGCGCTAATTATAGCATTTCATCAATGATGTGGAAACGCACAAAAAGTGACCCTCATCTGAGCCGTCGGCACAGTCGTCCACGCCATCCGCGATCCATTGAGGTAAAATGCAGTTTTCTGTTGTAGCACACTGAAAATGATTCGGCTCCAGGCAAATGTTCCGCCCTGCAAATCAGAAATCATCAAGAAGCGTTGGAATTTCTCATCATACTTATTGTGTCCTAACCCAGTTTTTATTTCTGGTAAATATCCTACAAAGAAAAAATCAACTTTTAAACATTTTATTAGTGAAGAAGGACGAACATCGACGGTCGCTGCACTGCAGCTCGCGATCTTTTGGCTTCACGCACTTACCACAGCCGCGTTGCAACTTCGTATCGCATAAAACACTATCTGCCGGGCATTCTATAAAAAAAAAAGAAATAAGTCAAGTCCACAGCTAATATGGCGAAGGACCAGCTCCAGTGTTTTGCTATACATAAAGAGGCAGGATCATGGTAATTTGTAGCAAATTCAGTAGCGCATCCAATTCTCAAAGATAGTGACAACTCTGCAAACATGATTTTGCGTGCCCACGGCATCCAGGACGTTGGTGTACATGAAAGCTCATTTTAGTGTTACAGGCATATATAGACAGCGAACATTCATGCGAAAGTTGAAAGTACAGTCGATCTTCCAGGTTAAAAAAGTGTTAATGCTAACGGTTACCTCTTGTAACTCCACTTGAGCATTCATAAAGCTTAGGCAGTCTTGAATCTAAATTTAAAATATCTAGATCGCACACAGAAAGAGTAGGTTCTCGTAAAATTTCAGTTTCTGGTTTCCCATATCCTTTTTCGCCAAAACA